TTATATAGAAAATTTCATATTTAAATAATTATTCTTTATTTTGATAAACAATTACAGTTTGATATTCCTTAAATCACTTATCATAGCACGCCTATTTTCAAAAATGATCGTAAACTCATTATGTATTGAAATAACATCAGGATTATTCATATTACGATTTGGTATTGTAATTTAATTACTAAATAAAGAGGTAATCAAATCTGAAGTATATTTTATAAATATAATATTTTGATTCATGATATCTCAGCTATTTATAACAGACTCCCTCTAAGTAATTATAAATTTATTATCACTTAAAGTGCAAATAGAAGTTGCTCTACAATTAGATGATAAAATATCTTAGCTGATATATACTTTAAACTAAACTTGCTTGCTATGATTCCAAAATCTGACTACCAAACAATAACAATGATTTCATTATTTAAAGTAATAAAAGGCTTTTGAATTTTTAATGAATTTTTAATTATTTAAAATAAATGCACGTTTTTGATTATCTTATAAATCATAAAAATGAATATGTAATTTCTAAACAAGGATATTTGATTCTAAATGATTTTATGTCCTGACTTAACATATACATTAGCAATAGATTAAATAAGAATTGGAGTATCAAATCTTTAAGCATATTTCAATTATACATTTTCTGAGACAACAATTTCATCTCTATTCTGACAAAGTCTTTAGTAAATCTTTATATTTAATCTTTCCCTACATTTACAAATCTTCTTCAATCCAAACTGCACAGAATTAATCATTATCAAAAGACTAAACATCTGGATAAATTTAAATTCTAGCAGATGATAAACTAACTCTTGTTTCAATCCAATAATAATAGTTTTCACATCATAGTAGAATAATTACTAAGTTTAACTTAGAACACCTGAAAACAAGATATTGACTAGAACTGAATTCATTAAAATATGGTAACCATAGACAGCTTTAAATTGAGATAATACATTTATAGGTTTAAATTCTACAAGTTTGCATTACTTTATTTTCGTAGTAATAAATTTGTAGGTATATATATCGAAGTCTTTATTATCCATCAAATCTTAAATAACTATAGTTCTTAAGAATTGCATCTATGTTTCATAGTAGTTTATAGACAGTTGAGAAATTCTATAAGAATTACTTAAAATAAGACTGCATTTAAATTCTGATCAAACCATTTTGCAAATACACCATTATTTAAATTCTAAAACCATAATCTTCTAATTCTACCCAAATTGCACAAATACCGTAATATGGAGATCCTCCAACCGCAATATTTACTGATCCATCAACTGTTAATTCATTGATTATATAATTATTTTTAAGGTAAACTATCTAATAATAACCACTTTAAATAATTAAATTTAGAAATTATACTATATCAGGTTTTGTTTAAATTTAATCATAAATCTAGTCATTCACAATTTTTGTTAAATTTAATATTTATGCTTTTATTATGAACATTATTTTATTTAAATATTGAATTGAAAACTAAAAAAAAACTTTAAAATTTAGCTTTGAATAGAAATCATTTCAAAAAATATTGCACCATCCCAGCCAAAATTCCTCTTATCATTCAAAAGCGAATGTAATTTATTAAAAATGGATTTGAATTTCAAGTAAAATATTAAAGAGTTAAAAAGGATAGCAAAAATTTGGCAATTGAATTTATTTTTATTAAGATACACAGGTGATTATTACATAATGCTGTTTAAATATGACTAAACTAAATTGTAGAAGACTTTATTAGCATAAAAGTAATCAAAACTAATTATATCATCATTCTTTAATTTTATGCACAATTTAAATTATAAATTAGTTATGGTAATTATTTAGAAGATTTTTCTCAAATAGTTTTTTAAGTCTCACTAGTTTTGCTATTATTTTCATTTACATTGCAAATTTGATTAGCTTTAGGAAATAGTCCTCATTTAACAAAAACGAAAATCTAGATATTTGCAAAAAAAAGCATCTATCATTTCAAGTAATCATTGAATTCCCTTAGTTTATATGACAATTTATGTATTTTTCTAAATCAAAATCAAAAGACCATGTCATAATTCTTAATATTAGTTTTGCATAATTTAATTAAGTATAATGATGTAGATAAAAAAATGAAACTTATTTCTGACTGCAAAGGAACAATAAAAAAATAAAGTTTCTATCTAAATGTTAAAAATAAGAAATTTCATAATTAAATAAATTTGAATGTATCAACTTATAAGGAACTTAGAAACTCACATATTTCAAGTGTTATAAATTAACAAATGAAATTTATTCTCTCTATACCTTAAAAGATATCACAAAGGAATTTATTTGCTAATGGATAAACTATAATTGTACGAATTTACTTTCAATTGAAATAAAAACTATTTTATTGTCAAAATTTAAATCAAAAATCTTTCAAAAATGTTAGTTTATCAAATAT